GACATCATGATTGGCCATTCAAACAAACCTGACATCATGATTAGCCATTCAAACAAACCTGACATCATGATTGGCCATTCCAACAAACCTGACATCATGATTGGTCATTCCAACAAACCTGACATCATGATTGGTCATTCCAACAAACCTGACATCATGGTTGGCAATTCCAACAAACCTGACATCATGATTGGCCATTCCAACAAACCTGACGACATGATTGACCATTCCAACAAACCTGACATCATGATTGGCCATTCCAACAAACCTGACATCATGATTGGCCACTCCAACAAACCTGACATCATGATTGGCCAATATGACAAACTTGACATCATGATTAGCCATTCCAACAAACCTCACATCATGATTGGCCATTCAAACAAACTTGACGACATGATTGGTCATTCCAACAAACCTGACATCATGAATGGTCATTCCAACAAACCTGACATCATGATTGGCCATTCCAACAAACTTGATGACATGTTTGGTCATTCTAACAAACCTGACATCATGATTGGTCATTCCAACAAACCTGACATCATGATTGACCATTCCAACCAACCTGACATCATGATTGGCCATTCCAACAAACCTGACATCATGATTGACCATTCCAACAAACCTGACATCATGATTGGCCATTCAAACAAACCTGATATCATGATTGGCCACTCCAACAAACTTGACATCATGATTGACCATTCCAACAAACCTGATATCATGATTGGCCACTCCAACAAACCTGACATCATGATTGACCATTCCAACAAACCTGACATCATAATTGGCCATTCCAACAAACCTGACATCATGATTGACCATTCCAACAAACCTGACATCAAGGTTGGCCATTCCAACAAACCTGATATCATGATTGGCCACTCCAACAAGCCTGACATCATGATTGGCAATTATGACAAACTTTTAAAACTAGCGCCGAAGGCGCATATTAGTTTTTATGTTTATATAAGAGATTGCATACTTACCTTTGGTTAATGAAATTTTAATTTCATAAACAAATGGGATAATTGCCAATTAACATATATACTGGTTAAATAAAATCGAAATAACAGTGATAGCTCCCGTAGGGGCGTCCTTCCCCTGTCATCTGATTTGCATACTTCCAATCTTTTTTGACCACGATATTGATTCGTACTATTTATCTGGGGTGGTTTGGG